GAAGGCACGGATCACCCCTTGGCCTATAGGTTGGATGAAGGAGGTGGTGTTGGCAGGAAGGAACTCAATCTGGACTCCCTCCTAATACAAATCCAAAGGGTGGCTGCCAGCATTATCCATAATGAGCAATAGCTTGAAGTCCATGCCCAAGTCATGGAGGTATTCCTTGGCTTCAGGGATAAAGCACTGGTGAAACCAGTTTGAAGCTATGACTTTGGTCATCCAGGCCTTAGGGCTGTGCATCCAGTAGAGAGGCAGCAGATTTTTATTTTGGTTTTTGAGGGCCCTAGGGTTCGCTGCCTTGTAGAGGAGGCCTGGTTTGATCATGTGACCAGCAGCATTGCCACACATAATGAGCGTCACTCTGTCCTTTGCCTTAAACCCTGGGGATTTGGCTTCATCCTTCATGATGTAAGTCCAGGATGGCATCTTCTTCAAGAATAAGCCAGTCTCATCCATGTTGAAAACTTGTTTCAGCTTGTATACCTTCTCCTCTATGATGTGCCTGAAGGTCTCGGGGTACTTCTTCATGGCTTCTTTGTTGGCAGATTCTGCCTCTCCATGTAAAGAAACACTTTTCAAATTGAATTGTTTCTGAAAACGATCAAACCATCCCTTACTGGCTTGAAAATATTCAGGCTCCAGTGCTGTTGATGGTCCTGGTTGTGGTAGCGAACTGCTGGTACGATTTTCATGCTTTCTCACGGATGATGTTACCTTCCAAGGGCATGTTCTTTTTCCTGCCGTCGGTGATTTTCAATGCCAAGGCAGATTCCATCTTGAAGATATTTTTATTTCTTACGGTCACTACCTTTTTGGCACTATCACAGAAATTTACTGATACGGGACTCCTGATCACTGCCTTGTTCTTCTTTATGTAGCGTACGGTACTTTTGTTGAGGCCATAATTTTGTAGTTCCCGGAGCAAATCCAGTAGTTCAACCTTCTCCTGGAATGTCCGGTCTTAAACTTCTTCTGGCGCTTAGGTTCATTGCCAGAAGCCTTAGAACGTGCAGGGCGTTTGGGCAGCATCTTGGGGCTTTAAGAAGAACAAAACAAAAAACACGAGAACACTCAGCGAAACACTCGAGATAGCTAGACGCGGTAAGCTGTTATGATGCGGGAATGCTGGGCTGAAAAATCCACGTATGACTGAGGCCGTGAACTCTGAAATGCGACTTTGTGGGGGTTGACTGTATTCCAAAATGTAATGCATTAAGGTGACCTGTGAAACTTTGACCTTTTACACTTTACATATCTGGACACTTGTTGAAGTACCTTGCTGTGATGTCTTAAAGAATTGTAAAGGCTAAATTAATAAAATATAACAAACAGGTTTTTACTTACCTGCTGTGTGCAATGATTTTGCACAGATAAGCCCTGATCCTTCTCTTCTCGGGTCCCCTGCCGACTCATGGCTCTTCTTGGTGTACCACCATAGGAAGTGGCTTCCTATTGTGGCACACCTGCGGGCTCAATCCCAAGCCACACTGCTTGTATCTATAGACAGAGACAGCAAGGCTCAACCACGTTTCTCACTCTCCTTACAGACTGTGACTGTCATTAGCATCTGCTGCTGTCTCTGAGCCAGTGAGGAGAGGGAGAGACAGCAGCTCTGCTGCTCTGGGGCACAGTGCTGGATCGAGAACGGGCTCAGGTAAGTATTTAGTTGGAGGGAGCAAAACCATGAGTTGCGCTTTTTTTTTTAACCCTTTCCCGCCACCACCTCCCGGCCCTCTGGCCCTTTTAACAGGTTTTAAATGCCAGGAGGCAGGTATTCCAACCACTTATCCCGCCAAGCAGCAAAAAGCATTACTTGTAGAAACCTTCACCACTTTAACCCTTCACTTCTCTATTCTGCTACTGCTCACCTCTATTACAAAATGATGGGATGTTGTTGTGCTCTTCAACGACTGTGGCAAAAAACCAAATCCCTACAGGAATTCACCCTATATAAATCTGCCCTCCCTAAAATACTATTCTTCTCTTCATGCTGCCAAACAAACCTACATTGTCTCTCTTATAATACCTTGTCATCCAGTCTTCATAAGCTGCTCGCTACCTTTAACTCTCTGGTTTGTGCCCCACCTCCTTTATGCACTAACTCTCTGCCCAATAGATTGCTAATCACTTCAAAGACAAGATTGATGCAATACGTGAGGATACATCCACTGCACAGATATCTTCCCCACTTAACATACCTTTTCCAACAGCACAGTCAACACTTTCCTCTTTTTTGACCTGGCTACTACTGAAGAGGTTACCAAACTGTATCCAGATGCCCACCTAACCAATTGTCCCCTGGATCCTGTTCCCTCACAACTACTACGATCACCCTCTTCTTCTATCCTATGCTCTCTCACTCACATCTTCAATCTCTACCTCCCTACTTGAACCTTTCCCTTCCCCCTAAACTCATGCACAGATCACTCCCATGCTTAAAAAGCTCTCACTGGACCCCACCAGCCTGAACAATTTAAGACCCATCTCCATGTATCATCCAAACCGTCCTCTCCACTCCTCATGATCTCCTGCTCTCAAGCTCCCTTGTCTCCTCCTCCCATGCTAGTCTCCAGGACTTTGCCAGAGCCTCTCTCATCCTCTGGAACTCTCTACTTTAGTCTGTCCAGCTATCATCTACTCTGGGTGCCTTTTAGGTGATCCTTGAAAACTCATCTCTTCAGGGAAGCCTATCACGCCTCTGAATAGACATTTATCACTTCCATCAGCTCATCTCCACAGTTATAACCTTTTGTACTACTTGCCCCACACTATTAGATTGTACGCTGTTATGAGTAGGGCCCTCTTAATCCTCTTGTTTTGATTATATTTTAGCTGTACTGTCTCCTTTTATTGTAAAGTGCTGCGCAAACTGTTGGCGCTATTCAAGTCTTGTATGTTAAATTATTAAACCTCTGTGATTTGCAGTCACAGAGGTCACATGATCGGAAAGCCCCCAATTGCAAGTATGCATCGGGAACTTTCCACTACCCACTGATAACTTTGGTGGGAGCGCATCGGGCACGTGCACTCAGCACAGAAAATGTTTACACAGGGCCGCATATATGCAGCCTCTCGGCATTGAAGCCCACCCACCGAGAGGCTGCATATATGTGTACTTCCAGCAGGAAGTGGTTAATGCCCAGAATGCATTAAGGTAAAAAAAAAACTTTAGCCTTTATATAACCACTTTTTGATTTACTGTGGTTAACCCCTTCATTAATAAGGGTAAAGCAAATCCTAACCCCCTTAACACAGTTCTACAGTTTTGATGTGTTTGAGTTAAATTGGTGTATCCAGGTGAATTATACTGGGCTTTCATTTGGTGGTAAATTGTAATGAATATTTTTTTTTTTTTATATATGAAAGGAAACCTGGCACAAAATGGTGAAAAAAATATTTTTTTAACTATATTTTTTGCTATTACCATAACCTACTACCAAAGAACAACCCAAAATAAACTCCAAACTCTTTACTTTTTCTTCACATATTACGTTTCTCTATGAAAATTGTTGTAAACAGAAGTAGCTCATTCATGTACCCAGAGATTGCTATAAATTATGGTTCTTCCTCCATATTCCTTTACTGCAGGTAATGGGTTATTCTAGTATGTCCAAAGTAATAGTGTAGTGTAAACTTTCCACCATCTCTTTTTGCACCAGTTCCAAAATAATCATCACAGAACATGTGATCTGATTCTATATCTAGATGTCCAGGTGCATTGAAAGGAAAGTGTGGCCAGATTTCATACACAACATTTTCCTGTCCTGTCTGTGATCAGACATCCAGACAGTGAACTGATAAACAGGGAAGTAGAGGCTCGCTCTGTGAGGTTAATAAACAGGTCTCTGGAAAATTCCTCTAGCATAGTCAGCACTCTACTCCTAAAGTGTACATCACTGGACTCTGACTTCAAGGAAGTGTACATCTGTTGATCATATCACTATGTCTTCAGTACCCTCTGTGTAACGACACGTGTAAGATATTTCTACCTGAGCTGCTTCCCCTGTACTGGACAATTATCCACAAGAGGTATTTCCAGAACCTGACTCTGATCACTGTACATAATGACCAACATACTGTGGCCTTTCCAATATGTTATAATGTATGTTATACTGATCTGCATGCTATCAGCACCTAATAAACACTAGCTTGTTGTTCTTTGGACCTAGCAAAATAGAACGAGCAGTTTGGTTCTCTTTACAGCACACAGAACCTGCTGAGGATTGAGCTGGAATGCAGAGATCTTTCAGTGAACAGAGCTGAAACACAGGTGGAATTTTGCAGACCGAGTTGCAACACAGAGAACATTCTGTGTTCTGAGCTACACTACAGAGGTCATTCTGTAGAGCATTTTTCAGACTGAGCTAAAATGCAGATGGAATTCTGTAGACTGGGCAGCACTTGAGAGAGCATTGTGCGGACTAATAACACAGCTATCATAGCTGCAGACTAAGGGGAATGTAATGAATGTCCTGCAAAATTCTCCATGTCCAGTTTAATACCTGTTACCAGAGCCATGAAAACTGTAGCTTGCTTGTTTCCAGGCCTCAAGTGATGGGGCAAATGACAAAATGGTTAATTTTAAAAATGCAAATCATTAAGTATACAGTGACTAATGTTTTGCATGTATAGAACAAAACTTAAAAGGAATGGATACTTTTTTCATCTCTATTGTAAATTAATTTAATGTGATATAGCATTCAGCTCCATATCCTCATAAAGACACCTGCTTATTTTAGTGTATAAGTATGTACTGAGTGAACAATAATTTTTTAATTTGACTGTTATAAGCCAGTCCACACAGGTTGCATAATATCCATACACATATAATAATTTTGCAGTCTCACATTAAAGTGACGTATAGGACAATGGTTAGCTCAGGTTGGTGACCACTTCTGGTAATTACTGTTTTGTACTCTGCCCCCTCCCCTTTTCCTATCCTAGTGCTGTATGTGCTTGTCCATTGTGATTTATGTTCATTCATATTGTATTTGCAGCTTCAGGCACTGTTGCAGATCTGGTCCAAACTACCCCCAAGAGATGCCTTGGAACTGCTTGATTTCAACTATCCTGATCAATATGTAAGAGAATATGCTGTCAACTGTCTAAAAAGTATGAGGTAGGTGGATTTTGTATAACCATATATAAGACTTCATGCATGCCGCCATACAGGGTCCATACGCTGCACAGATCCTACGTAACCACTTACACGCTGCATAAAGCTGCCCATTAAGATGAATTGGAAGATGCGCTGTACGTGGTTATGCGCCAGGAGTCGAATAGAGCAGGCAGAAAGATGTATTCTCTAAAAGAAAATGGTAAGATTTTGGGGCCTACATAATATTTTGGGGCTTAACGCAACCCCTGATACATAACTGCATACAGCTGCAACTGAAAGTAAAGCCGATGGTGTGCTTTCAAGACATATGTCCATGCATGTGCAGATGCTTTATGCAACGCTGCATACAACCGCATCTTCAAATTCATCTCCGCAGCGGGTTCCAGAAAGTGGTTATACAAGCTCTGTATTCTGTACAGCACTGTACATGTGGCCTACAAATGTTACTGGCTTGAAAGCTGCAATAAAAAAAATTCTATAGTCTTTTTCCACATACGAATAAGCATTTTGTTAATTTCTGTAAGGCCTTGATTGCATGGACATTGAAAATAGGTGATTGGGTTGTGTTTTTACCACTTCCTGATTACCTATCATTGCCACTTACAATTGTTAAAACGGAGAGCAGATGGAGGTGTATACAAGCCAGCACTACCATTGCCTTGCCACATGGAGAGGCAAAAGTGATGCTGCCTGCAGAATTTGGCAGGTGTTGATGCTTTGCAATAGCTTCCATTTACTTCTATTAAAATGTGGCGCAAACATATCGTAAAAAAGGGCCTATGAAGTTTACAGAGCATTTAATGCACAACTGAAAAGCATCAAGTGATCATTTTTCTCATTTTAGCATTGTAGAAAATTAAGAGGAAAAAATCTCACAGGGTGTTTACTTCCCACCTGGCCGTCAGTTGGCTATATTCCGGGTGGAGATCATATGACGTCTTCCTCAGAATGCACCCCAAGGGCTGCGCTGTGGTGCGATCTGTCACCCGCTGTGTCCACTGAACACAACGGATGGCCAATCAGTGTGCCGGCTGCTGCTAGTAGCATGTGATCGCTGTGACCAATCACACAATTGCACACAATGGATGGCGTTGATTCATGCCATTCATTGTGTACTGTTGTGTTGATCTCTGTGATTGGTCACAGTGATCACTTGGTGAAAGACAGGGCCAACCACAGCCCATCTGTACCATGTGTAAACACAATAGTAAATACTGAATGAAGTGATTTCATTTAGGGAAAATGGTTGCTTATAACAGTTTTTATTGTCTTTTTTTTTTTTTTTTTTTTGTTACATACTGTTAGCAGTTAGTGTCCTTGATCACCACCACACCAGTTATACGATAATTCTCTACTGCACTGGTGACAGTATGTTAAAAAAAAAAAAAAAATGAAAAAAACTTTTTTTTTTTTTTTTTTATTTTTCCTCCATTTTCCAAAAAGAATTGTGATGAAAAATTAAAACTTAAAAAAAAAACAGCCATGCCTCTTACCAAATACCTCAGATTTCCAAAAAGTGGTCATTTGTGGTTATTTGTATTTTCCTGGGGTTTTTGAGCCTCAAGAACTTAGGCCATCCGTACATCAGGGCTGATCAATTTTCAGATTTATATACCTTCGTTTGTGTACTCTATAACTTTCCTACAAACTAAATAATATACACTGATTTGGGTTTTTTTTCCCCAAAGAAAATTGATTAAAAAAGATTTATTTGCAAAATATTATAACAGAAACTAAGAAAAAAAATTTTTTTTTTTCCCTAAATTTTCTTTTTTTCCATGTATTTAGCAAAAAAACAGCGGTGAATACATACTACCAAAAGAGAGCTCTATTTTTGTGCACAACATGATAAAAATGTAATTTGGGTACAGTGTTCCATGACCACGCAATTGTCATTCACAGTGTGACAGCACAGTGCGTCCCTAGTTAATGGCTGATATAAAACTCCATGCCTGCGTGAACTTGGCCTTTATGCAGTCTCATTGTCTTCACCACGATGTGTTAAATATTTACATATCATTATTGTTATATCTTGAATTTATGTTCGATCAACAGTAATTATATTACATGAAATGTCCTCTTGGCATCTCGCCACCAGCAGCTGAATATAAGTTATCTCTTGGAATTAAGGTTTTATCGTTCCCAGATAATGACAGAGCAGATGTGTGGAGAGCTGTATACTGACAGCTTTTTTATGTGTTACAGTGACGAGGAGTTATCCCAGTACTTGTTGCAGTTGGTACAGGTTCTTAAATATGAGCCTTTTCTGGACTGCGCCCTATCCCGATTCTTGTTGCAAAGAGCCCTGGCTAACCGTAGAATTGGCCAGTTCCTGTTTTGGCATCTGAGGTTGGTACACATTGGTTTTAGAGACTTGGTCTGCACTTTTTTTCTCAGCTGTCTGACTAGAAATATTGACCTAACAAAGGAACTGCAAGCATTCATACTCCTAAAACCAAATAAAATATATACAGTATTCTTTTTCAAATATTTGTTTCAACATCCCAGCTAATCTATTAAATATGAACTATATTACTACTAACTATACCAAACGGGGCATCTATACGTTAAATATATTTAAAAGGTTATTTTCTTTCTTGTCCATTGAAAGAAACCTTAAACCCTTTGGTTATAATATTATTTAAAGGAGGATTGGACACTGGCCAAAAAAAAAGTTAGGACATCCCCTCCTAGTACCAGCATGCCTCAGCTTTTACTAGAGTCTAAACAGGATTAATGTCTTTTATTTAGCTTTGCTGTGAATATTCTGTTTTTGCTTAAAAAAAGAAAGAAAAAAAAATTCTTCTATTTTGTTCTTTAGTCTGGCTTTTAGAGCCAGAGTTTGGACTGAACATTGCGGGATAGCCTGGAAATGGCATTTGGGCACTGCGTGTTTTGCTTGCAGTTCTTTCCAGACTCCTTTGTGGTAAAAGTTGGCTTAGGAGTGACCTTACACTGTACCTTTACACATGTCTCTGTTTCTATAGTGAGTGAGCTGGTCAGGCTGGGCACTAGGAGTTACCCAGTATAAATAGGCTGCTTGGCGCCTTTATTCGCACTTTTTGCGACATAGGAAGTTAAAGCTTTGGGACTGAGCCTTGGGTGTATTATTGCACATGCTTCACTTTCTTTCCTGCCATACAGTATCGAGGAAGCATCTCTTTGCTACTGGATTTTTTAGAAGCTTCGATCTTTGATCCATTCCTAGTGTCTTGCCTCTTACCATGAGCTTATACACTGCCTTACCACCACGAGGTTGCAAAATCTGCTGTACTATGTGCCCCCAGCTCACTTTCTCCTTAATGCTCTGGGGCTGCTCACAGTGCATCTATTTACAGGGTCAACATTTGCAGCCTGGAGTCATGTTGACCTCTGCTATTGAAGTCTTTTCTGCCCTTGAAATCTTATTTGTCTCTTTCAAATATGGCTACCTTCTGCTTTTTCAGCTGAGATCTTAAAATACAGTCGTATAAAACGTATGGTCCAGTTATTTGCTGACTCTGATTGTAGAAGCCACAAGCATGCTCTCATACCTTCTCCTTCTGATTCTATACCCAATTTGTCCATGGCTTAAGTGTCTTCTGAGCCATCAATGATGGAGAACTGTGCTTGATTTTGTGTTGCTCCAGTCCTTGACAGATGAGTTTATCCCTGACGAGTTGCAGTCTACTACTTATTCCCAGACTAATAGAAACTATTTCAGCTCTTATTCATGCTGGACACACAATTCTGTAGCTAGAGGATAAGTCTGTTGTTTTTGCCAGTACTGTCTGCAGACTTAGGTTGTTTAAAACTCCCAAGGCCACAAGGCTTTTGCAACTATTTCTATGTGGAGACTGTAAGCATTTTTTCTTATGGAGTACTTATTAGCCTTGTATCCATTTGGTAAAAATTTTGAAGTAGTCCCCAATGTGGATCTAACCATCTCCTGCCTAACAAAATGTTTACTATGCCTGCCTTCAAGGGCCCACCAACAAGTGGTTGGAAACCCTTGCTAGAACTCTGTTCTCTGACAGTTCCTACCCTTCACCCAGTCCTGGCTGTGACTTTTCTTTGTCAAACCATATCTGATCAAATTCCCTTAAAAGACATCTGCTCATTGCTGTGGCTGATCCCCTGCTTTTTGAGCATGGAAAAGGTGCCTATAGCTTTACATTTCAGCTGTGACAATTTGCAAGTATTAAGTCGCGAGGCTTCCAGCATAGTCTCATGTCGGTACGTATACATTGGGCACTGCGGAGGGACAACATCTCTACAGACCAGCTCTTGATTATATTTTTATGGATGTTACTGGTGGTAAGAGCACCCAATGTCTCTCAGCATTTGAAGCCTAAGGAACAGGATGCAAAGTCCTCTTCCTCTCTGAAAAACTTTCCTTTTGTTGCTCCACTCCCTGTATCCCTTCCTTGCACCCACAAAGTGGTGTTTTTTGTAACCATCACCTCTGTGAAGCGAGCATATTAAATGGAGAGGTTATCTGGCAGGAAACATTTTCTCATTTTTTATAGGCACAGGACTTCATATTGTCTAAGGTAGTTTCTGCCTTTCACCTCAACTAAGTATATTGTATTTCTGTCCTGCTGTCTGGCACTAGTTCACCAAGTACATTTTTCTGGTTGTGGTTCAGGCTGTGTGAGTCAATTTTCTCACCCACTGCTTCTTTTGAAAAGACTGATTCCATACTAGTTCCACCATCTCTAAGGCTTCTCATCCAAACATAAGGATCAGGTTTCGCCCTTGCCTATCAAGGTGTACTGTACTAGATCCGTGAGTGTTTCTTGGACTATGACATCTGTCAGCGGTTTCTCAGTTCTGCAAGGCTGCCACCTGGTGTTCTGTTCTCTTAAATTATACGAGGTGGAATATGTCCTCCTCTAATACAAGCTTTGGGTACGTACTCCTTCAGACAGCACTTTTAAGCTGCAGTCATCCCCAGTGAGCCTTGAGCCTGTTGGCATTTATTTTCTGTCTAACGCTTAGTTGAACAGAGTTTGGACTTCCTGTGTCTCTCAATGGATGAGAGAGGAAAATAGGATTTTTTTTTTACTCCTCATAAAATCCTTTTCTTGTAGTCCATTAGGGACACAGCTCACACCCCATTGTGTTTATGATCATACTGCTTTCCTACAAAACAGAGGCATGCTGGAAGTGAGAGGGGTTATCTTGGACAGGTCTACAGGTTTTTTTTTTTTTTTTTTTTGCCAGTGTCTTAAATCCTCCTGTAATATAAAAGTTTACCCCTTTCGCTGCCAGGCCCTGCACTCCACTTTTTAAACTCTTTAAAAAACTTTTTCCATTGCTTTTTTTATTCTTCCCTTACAGCTTTCAGAGTTTGTAAAAGACCCCCTAAATCATATATTTTCTGAAAGCACATGACCAGTATATTTTATCAAAACAATATTTCTGCTAAAAAATATACTAAAATCATTATTCGCAGATACAAACACAGCAAACTACTAAATTCCTGCTGAATATAAAAGCTCAACATGTATTGAGTTAATACATAAAAATGTCTGGAAATTTTAATTTGCGTCGTTTTGTGAAAAGGTGAAAAATAAACTTACTCAAAACTGTAAATAAGCATGTTTCTATATAAATCTGGAGGTTTTCATTTTTCTTTTACAGCTTTCAAAGTTTCTAAGACTCCCCCCCCCCCCCAATCCCCCACAAAGCATAAAAAGATGCTACTGATTTTTTTAGGCCCCACAATAGTTGCGTAATGCAAATTTTTATCAAATTGCTGTTTTAACTAAAAAAAACACAAAAAAATCCTCATAAGTCTACATAAACACAACATAACTTACAAAATTCGGGCTAAATTCCTTCTAAGGCCTTATCCGCATGGGGTGTACTAAAGTGTATGCCCATGGAAGGCTGTATGGAGGGCCATGTTTACCCACACAGGTGCTCCGTGCATTTCTGTGCAGGCAGTCCCATTTATCTCAATTGGGATGCAGCGGCTGTAAGGACAGATGTGACATCCGTGCAGGTGTTGGGTGCAAGGCCCCAAACACAGATAGTGTGAGTTCAGGGACATGCACCCACACAGATGTCAACTTGGGAGCTGTGTCCCAATTGACATCGATGGGACTGCCTGCAGTGGGATGCGTGTAACACTTGTACATTGCTGTGCAGCTAAACACAGCCTTTTTGTGGTATGCCCCCGCGTGAATGGGGTTGGGGGCCTGCAAAAATGTGCTGCTGAGCTGCGTTTCTGCCACCCACCAACCATCCCCGCTATAGGTGCAGTAGGCAGCAGATGGGGGTGTTTACATTCTGCGGCTGCAATGTGTCACTTTGAGCCCACAGCAAAGTTGCAGATCACTATACATTCAAGTCAATGTGAAAGTGCCACAAATGCCCTGCAACCACGTGCAGTACACATGGTTGTGGCTCATTTGTCAGCAAAAATGGGGTTAAAATGAGCAGTTAGGAAGCAGTGCATCATTTCCTCACCACCTGTCAGTAGTCACTGGAGTGTGAACTTAATGCGGATTGGGCTTCAGAGTCAAGGGAGACTTAGATGCATGTCTAAATCTAACCTTCCCTATCCCATCCGTCTGTTTTTAGCATAAGTCCGTTTACATCCACCGCTCTATGAAGGGATCGATTGGGTCCACCTAAAATAACTGACAGGCCGACCCAATCGGGACACCCTTGTGAAAGGGGCATTACTATTTGTTTTGTTTTATTTTCTTTTTTGTTTATTTAGGCGCAATTTTATTTATTTTTTTACAAATATTTTTTTTTTGAAAGGGGGAGGGGGGCTTAGAGAGACATTAAAGGTCTAGACAGACCCCTAATGTCTCTTTTTTTGAGACCAAGAAAGGGACTGAAGACAAAGTCCCTTTCTCTGCACCCTGAGCTGCACTGTAGATGAATGATATAGAGACTCCCATTCATTCACAAAGTGAAATATAGTAAACACTGTTTACTATATTTCAGCAATGAATGAACAGAAGCAATCAGAACCAATCGCTCTGTTCATTCAGGAAAGAAAGGGGGCTAGTAAACACATGTTTACCAGCCTCCCCGCTCTCCATCCTGACACCTCACTCACACTGCTCCTGGAACGCTGCAACTGGACAGGGTGGAGGGAGAGCTAGTTAGAGGAGCATTGGATCGCTGAGTAGGGGGAGACACTGAAGGGGGGGTTTAATGTTTTTGCCATTTTTTTTTTAGCACTGTGGCTAGACTGCATCCAGCCACAGAGATGGAATCACTTTGTAGGTGAATAGCTCTGACCAGCAGATTGTGATCCGCAGGCCAGAGCTGCTATTTTGTTCAGGAGTGATTGCTGAACAGTTTTGCTTTACGTTCATGGTCATGGTAAGAAGTATTGGTTTGCTGGAAAAATTGAAGGTTATTACTTTGCTAGATAAATCCACCACTCTTTCCCAAGCTCCCTTTTTATAGCAAAAATAAAATAGGGATAAACTGAAATCGCACTTCTCTGTGTAATGTTTTCTTTGTTCTAAGAAGTGAAACCTACCATGTTAGGTGTCACTATATTTCGGAACTGTTTGCCAGGAGACAGTTTTATTTATTTCTTTAACACCCTTAAATGTAAATGATCTAGAAAGCAAGCTCTCCGGTGCAGATCCAAAACCTGTAGAACATTTGTATGCTTATAAGATAAGCTGATTAATACTGCAGATTGTTAAAGCAACCCTCATGCAGCCAAAATGTTCATCAGCATTGAATGTTTCCCACTTTTATTTCTGTGACGTTGATAGATAGACCCTTATGCATTAGAGATGAGCCCCCATGATTTTAGCACAGGAATTCAAGGAATACTAGTCTTTTTTAAAGACTTCCCCCAGACAGATATCGCAGAATGCATCATGCAGACCTCCCCCCGGAGGGAAAGGAGTTACTTGGATAAATGTGGTATTTTAATATGTGTATGTGTGTCTATGATTTAGTTGGACGTGTGATCACCTGTAACTTGGATGCTCCACATTCCATACAAAGATGGTCTCACCTTTCATTGTTCTGCAATAGGGCTGAAGTTCACACTCCTGCTGTGTCAGTGCAGTTTGGTTTGCTGCTGGAAGCATATTGCCGGGGCAGTGTGGGACACATGAAGGTGCTCTACAAACAGGTAACCATCACAAAACTATAAAGTCATCTCACTGGCCACTGTCTCCACAAGCTATTTATTTGTAGACTAGCACAAGCATTCCTTTTTATCGGATGGTATGTTTTGGTAAATTTTGCTTATCTACATATAACTTATGTCACTGTAAGCAGATTACCACAATGTTATGGGATATGAAATCTCAGGCCTCTAGAAGGATTGTCTCAGATCTGTGATAACCCACACAAAAAACTTTTAATCCTAGATAATATAGAGGAAATTGTCACTGGTTGCCACGAGGTTTCTTCGCCTGGACACTCTTAAATTAGGCTTGTCTTTGCATTGTCATAAATTTAAGGCAATCCTATTTAATTCATTTTTAATATTCAAAGCAAACTCCCCCATCCATGTCTCCATGATTTATTTTTCTGAGAAAAACACCCCCCTAGCATTTCTGGCTATAACCACCTTGAGTAAGGGCAGATTATTCATGCAGCATTTACTTCCTGGAATCCATCTGCCCTTAGTTCATGCATGCAGACAGAAGGATTAGAAAACCCCTCCTCCCGTCCTGAAGACTTTTTGGAATGTATGACATGATTTGCCTAGGCATGGATACCAAGAAGTAACTGAAGAAATGTAAAAAAAAAGTTTAAAACAGGTAAATATAATATACTTTCCTATCTATTTACTAATGCTACCAACATAAAGATTAAAATAGTTGATTTGAGCGTGTAAAAGTCCACTTAAATCATACAACAAAAAAAATACTTTTTTTTATAAAAAAGGAGCCAATTAGCATAAATGTAATGAAGTATGAAAATATTTTCGATACTTTAAGTGTACACTCCAGGGTTGTAAGTGCATGGGGTACCAATGTGCATGACTGGATTGGTTGACACATTAATATAATGTCTCCTTAAAGAGGCTTAACAGCTTTGTGCATCATGCCTTGTATACAGTCAGTACAGACATCCCTATGTGATTGTTTTATTAAGTATCTTAACAGCTATTGTGTGCATACATCCAACCGTCCTCTATAAGGCTGCCAAACCTTTTGAAGAGAAAGGGTCACTTAAGTGATTTGGTAACCAGTCGGAGGCCACAATGAAATGAAATGATTCAGGATTTTTTTTTTAATATCATAATGAACATTTTCCTCTTGCAGCCGCAGCAACCAGTAGGAGGGAGAGGAGGAGAAAACAGTCTTTCAGTGAAAAAATGGAGAGGATCCGTTCCTTTATATGCCACCCCTACCTCCCCTCCTGTCCAAATGTAAAACAGAATGTGACAGGGAGACCACACAGGCCCCCTGGAGTATGGGGCAGAGTTGCCATTGTGACCCCTGACACTACACTAGTGATGGGGGGGGGGGGGGGGTAAAAACATCTCAACTTTGGGGTTTTACTGCCCACTAAACTACAGTTGTAAAAGAGCCCCTAAAAGGCTGCTTTCACACTAATGTGCTGCAGTTTACCCATACTGTGGGTGCAGCACAGTGCACCTGCAGCTTTCCTGCAGGTTAGCTGCACTTTGCCATAGATTTCTATTATAACTTGTAGGTGTTGTGCACTTCTGAAAGTGCACCAAAACTCCTGCATTCTGGAGTTTTGGTGCTCCTTCCAAAAGCACACCAAACCCACAAGATCTAAAAGTTGCTGACCCCGAGCATGCGCTTCGCTGGTTTGAAGTCGAGGGCCACATCAGAGGGCTCTGAGGGCCACAGGTTGAGCACCCCTATTTTATTGTAAAAGCTTAATTGAACAAGCTGACGTTAGTCCATTATGTATGGTGTTTTGTAAAAATGCTGGTTATTCAAGTACTTCGTAGCTGGCAATGCTATCAGCACAAACACTAGTTCCATCCCGGCGTGTGGTTACAATTGTATCCAAAATGCTTCTTGTTTGTATCCATATAAATTATCCAGAAGAGTTGAAATCCAAAAGTCGATAACATTAAATATCTCTCTACCTCCTCAGGAGCTGGCCCAGTGGCAACTGGTTCTACCATTCTCCTGGTCCCAACAATCCATTCCCTATCTAGGCGTTAAATTGACTGCTAATCCATTGGGCCTTTATTCTGCCAATTACCTACCTATGCTAAACCACCTTACTAGCATCATGACCAAATGGTCCTCCCTGCCATTGGCCTGGATGGGCAGAATCACTGTCATGAAAATGTCTTTTCTTCCTAAAATGCTATATTTGTTTAGAGTCTTGCCCATTCCAGTGCCAGCACATTTCCTCTGCATCTTACAACGACGAGCTTGCGTATATATCTGGGGTTCCATCTGCCCTCGTATACCTCGCTCAACCATAATAAATCTAAGCTTATGGGCGGCCTGGGTCTCCCAGACTTTACTAAGTATTACCAAGCTGCACACCTTGCACAACTGCCAAAATACCACGCCATGCGCAAAATCCCATAATGGGTCATTCTTGAATCGGTGGACTGCGATCCTCTTTCAGTCGCTAACCTCCTATGGCCAAATCATGGAAGTCTCCATCTCTGTGCATCCTAGCAGTTAAAAATAAGGTAACACAAGCAATGATTCACGCCAAAGTGGAAGCAACCATTGGAGACTCTGTCCCCAAGTTTCTAATGATTTGGACCCCTTGGGTGGAAAATTTTTCTTCCAATGAATTTTGATGATTCGCTGCTCTCCCTTAACACTTCCTAGTCTCACTCTATGGTGGTCCTCTGTGCTAATCCTTACGTTAGTCCGATCCCAAGATTGTCCCTTTTTTTTCTGAAAGTCACACATCTCTTTTCCCCCTCTTGATCCCCTATTATCTTTTATTCTTTCCTTTTTCTTTTCCATCTGCCCCCGATTTTTCTTTTCCTCTGCCTTACATGGAACCTACGGGGAGTTATTGGGAGTTGTTCTCCCTATTTAGATCATAACTATATTTCACCTCTCCAGATACTGCTTTATTTCCCAATGTTTCCTCCTGGTCCCTAGTTGTATGTTATTGTACGATGTTCTCCTTTTTGCTTTTGGGCAACATGTTTCCGTTAATTTCTGTACATGTACAGTAAAGGGAATAAGTATTTGATCCCCTGCTGATTTTGAATGTTTGCCCACTCACAAAGAAATGATCAGTCTAAAAATCGAATGGTACGTGTATTGTAACACTGAGAGACAGAATAGCAACAAAAAATTCAAAAGAAATGCATGTCTAACAAATTATGCACTGATTTGCATGTTCATGAGGGAAATAATTATTTGATCCCCTATCATTCAGCAAGATTTCTGGCTACCAGGTGTCTTTCAGACAGGTAACAAGCTGAGATTAGAAGCAGTTTCTTAAAGGGAGTGCTGCTAATCTCATTTTGTTACCTGTATAAAAGACGTGTTCACAGGAGCAATCAAACAATCAGATTCCAAACTCTCCACCAATGCAAACACCAAAGAGCTGTCCAAGGATGTCAGGGACAAGATTGTAGACCAACACAAGGCTGGACTGGGCTACCAAACTGAGAAGGTGCAATCATTCGCAAATGGAAGAAACAACTGTCTCCCTAGGTCTGGTGCACCACGCAAGCTCTGACCTCGTGGAGTGTCAATGATCATGAGAACAGTGAGGAGTCATCCCAGAACTACACGTGAGGATCTTGTCAATGATCTCCAGGCAACTGGGACCACAGTCACCAAGGAACCAATTGGTAACACACTACGCCGATAAGGATTGAAATCCTGTAGTGCCCGCAAGGTCCCTCTGCTCAAGAAAGCACATGTCCAGGCCCATCTGACGTTTGCCACTGAAGATCTGAATGATGCAGAAGAGGAGTGGTTGAAAGTGTTGTGGTCAGATGAGACCAAAATTGAGCACTTTGGCATCAACTCAACTCGCCATGTTTGGAGGAGGAGGAATGCTGCCTATGACCCCAAGAACACTGTCCCAACGGTCATAGGCAGCATTCCTTCTCCTCCAAACATGGCGAGTTGAGTTGATGCCAAAGTGCTCGATTGTGGTGGAAACATTCTGCTTTGTGGGTGTTTTTTTCTGCTAAGGGGACAGGACAACTTCACCGCATCAAAGGGATGATGGACGGGGCAATGTACCATCAAATCTTGGGTGAAAACCTTCTTCCTAAGCCAGGGCATTGACAATGGGTCATGGATGGGTGTTCCAGCATGACAATGACCTAAAAACACACGGCCAAGGCAACAAAGGAGTGGCTTATGAAAAAGCACATTAAGGTTGTGAAGTGGCCTAGCCAGTCTCTAAACCTTAATTCGATTGAAAATCTGTGGAGGAAGCTGAAAGTTCGATTTACCAAACATCAGCCACCAAACCTTAATGATTCGGAGAGGATCTGCCAAGAGGAGTGGGCCAAAATCCCTCCTGAGATGTGTGCAAACCTGCTGGCCAACTATAGGAAACGTCTGACCTCTGTGATTGCTACCAAGGGATTTGCCACCAAGTCTTAAGTCATATTTTGTGAAGGGGATCAAATACTTATTTCCCTCATGAACATGCAAATCCGCTCATAATTTGTTAGACATGCATTTCTTTTGAATTTTTCTTGCTATTCTGTCTCTGTTTTACAATACACCTACCTTTCGATTTTTAGACTGATCGTTTCTTTGTGAGTGGGCAACCATTCAAAATCAGCAGGGGATCAAATACTTCTTTCCTTCGCTGTATTTGACTGTCCTGCTCATGTTGTCGGTCTGGAAAACTCAAAAATTTGAACAAGGAAATGTAGGTCCAGCACAGCATAATAAAAGCTGTAAAATATTTGGTAAGTCAATGCTCTATGTATATTTTTTGTATGGTGTTGAGAACATTTATTAAATTGCTCCCTCATTCCTAGGTGGAAGCCCTGAACAAGCTACGGACACTTAATGGTCTCATCAAGCTGAATGCTGTAAAACAGAGTAAGGTGAAGAACAAGGAAACCATGCATGCCTGTTTGAAGCAGAATGCCTACAGGGAAGCTCTCACTGATATCCAGTCACCTCTCAATCCCAGTGTCACCCTTTCTGAGCTTGTGTGAGTGTTCACTTTCTTTGTTCCTTGTGGTTACATAGGAACTCAACCCTATAATTCTTAGTACTAAGGTATAATCCTCACTGTTTAGAAAATTAAATGGTGGGCAACATTAAAATTACTTGACAGCTACAAGCCACTTGCTAGATACCATTATACCTGACAGGTAATTATTGAGCATCACTGCTGGAAATAGTGTTTTCAGGTTCAGATGTTAGCGCAAGTGGTTTTTGTGATTATTATATCAGATTTGTTTTTATTCTGCAAGTTATCTGAGTATTTTTAATTATTACAAACTTTTTGACCTGTGTCATTAGAAGAGAATCTCATTGGTTTTATTAATAGAAGTCCATCTGCAATTGCTTTGTATATGTTTAATGACAACACCCAAACACACGGTTTTACTCTCCTTGTCCCTCATAGATGGCTGTTGCTACTCCAATATAACAATGTTCTCATGACTAGTGCTTACAAACCGGTATTTTCCTTCTGCTTTATAAATAGTGTAGAAAAGTGCAAATACATGGATTCAAAGATGAAACCTTTGTGGATTGTCTACAATAATAAAGGCTTTGGAGGGGACTATACTGGGATCATCTTTAAGAATGGAGATGGTGAGAAATGAAACACAACGCTAGCTACAACTCTGGAAAAATGGTCTCCTAGGATTAGTATGTCAGACTGATTGTAAATGTTTTCCTTGCACAGATCTGCGTCAGGACATGTTAGCCCTCCAGTTACTACGTTTAATGGATATGTTGTGGAAGGAAGCTGGTCTGGACCTCAGGTAAGACACTTCCTGTGGATTTCTTGCTGAATGGGAAAATGTGATTAACTCACTGCAAATACTCTTCTTTCATACAAGGCTGTGTATTGATCATGGTTTCCATCTCCAAATCTTAATAGTAGAAGCTATGAAATAGCTGTGGAACTGCAATCTCTGGCAATTTATATTTGTTTACGTTTGTATATAGCTTTGCACCTGCAGTTACTGACATTTTATAATTATCAATTACTGTGAGACAATTACATGACAGCGAGAGAATGCATGGAAATCAGGATGTCCCTTTGAGCCATGTCCTTTCATCCTTGCCAGTCACCTATAATTCTCCCTAAAGAAACAATGCAGAGTAATCTGTTAACTCACGATTTTCTTGGCCAGGGACACATGAAGCCTCTGTTAAGGATGGAAATGGCGGGTGGAGCAGGAATTGATGCCACTGTGTCATAACCTGCCTAATTGCCTGTTTTTCCCACAGACAGTAGGTACATTTAGGTGTTCACTTTTCCTTTCTGCTGATATAACATGTTCTAAATTTGCCAGCAACTTTGCCCATGGCAGGATCCTAATGTTTCTTCAGCAGTAACTAACTGGCCAACCTGCCTCTTAAATGTAGAATTGGATGTATTCTTGATCAATAAAATAGTTATATACTGCACAGTCCTAATTTTTTATTTTTATTTTTTAGATCCTTTTTATACATTCTTGTTTTACCTTACATTTAGATCTTTTTTTTTTTTTTTTACATTCTTGTTTACCTAACATTGACATGCTCTATGAGTTCAACATATCTCTGCAACCTATATCACCATTTGTACAAGCTGCCCTCCTACTGACTTCTGTCAAAGCCTCCCCTGACAAGGATGTTTTTATAATCCCCTCCTGCTGCGCCTCTGGGGAACTCACTGTCATCTCTTGGCCTCTGGAAGGGAAGTCAGTGGTCTTAGGCCCTTAAACACTGTAGTGTTGGTGTGACAAAAAGTTATGGAATAATGCCAAGTGGCCCTGTGACCTTGGCAGCACTTAGCTCTCACCTATGTAGTGCTCAGTCTAATAGCAGCTGCTGAAATACCTTTGTTGTTGTTATCCAGGTCAGGTTTAGATAGGGATCAGCTCAGAGTGAACCTCTAGGTGACTGTATTCATACAATTCGGGTGTCATGTGCACAATATTCCACTATTAACCCCTTATACTGGTATAATTGATACACAAGGCTTACTACATATTACAGTCATTGAAAAATACTATACCCTCTCTATTTTAGTCTTCAGCTGTTCTAATTTTCTTAAAATAACAATAATGTCCCTTACATGGAATTATGGCATCCTGAAAGCATCCTGTACAGTTTTTGTGTGTAAAACATTTTCTCAATACTAATTTCCTGCTTGTGTTTGGCTTAATGCTTTTCCCAGAACTCTGCACAAAGCTTGAAGTCAAATTACAGGCGTTCATTTAAATGGTTTCAGTTTTAGTGAGATGCTTTCAATGCCTCTGCCATCCAATAGTGTTCCAGGGTTGCTATATTTTTGTAAGCTCAAAAGAGCAGGGCCCTCGATCCCCTCATGTTTTGCATTGTATTGTTCTGTCCCACTTTGTAATGTACAGCGCTGAGCGAACTATTGGTGCTTTATAAATACTGTATAATAATAATGAATGCAGGTCTCTAACTTTGTGCCCAGTTTAATAAAATTACTAGCAAGGCTTACTGTCATCTGAACAGAAAAAGGTATGAATCTGAAATGGCATTTGCTAAACTCCTTGCAATGTATCAACAAAGTAGAAGATCATTTTATTTACATGTGTATTTAGTCAGGTTAAGTGCTCTAAAAGAGCAATATGTAGACGGCTTTTGCTGACCTTTCTAAAAATGCTAGTTGCCTGGCTGGCATGCTGACTCTGACTTTTTGTCTGCTCTGACTTTAATACTTTCTGTGTCAATATATAATGGTAAGCCCACATATTTCTTTCTTCAAGTATATCCAAAGCTAAAAACTTTATTTTTTCATTTTGTTTAGAGTAGGGGAGGGTTAAAACCCACTGTTTTTTTTTTGTTTTTTCATTTAGGGATATTTCCCTTTACTTCAATGGAAAGTGAGCATATCTTTTCAATGTGAGGAAAATCCCCACTTAGAAAGTTGTCACAAGAACATGTATTTTAATTGAAAGATTTTTCCATCTGTTCCTTTTCTGGTGGCAATTCAAAATTTTGGATTTACCTCCACTTTTGTACTCTGTGACATTTGATGCCTATGGCAATTAAAGAGAGTGACATTTGGGGATCCAGATAATTAAAGAGAGTGAATCTCCTTAATAGTGACACAGACAGCAATAAAAAAAAAACTGACAGTGGTTCTAACTGCTCAAATTTCTATCCAAATCTTTTAAAAGAAAAAAAAAAACTGCCTTTAGTTATACTTTAAGCAGACATCCCTTGTACAGTTTTTGAGGTAAGTTGTTCGTCTTTTTTTAAGCATATCTAAGATCAATTATAAAATCAGAATATATCACAGTTTACCAATCCTTAGATTTGCTAGCTGTAATTTAGTTTTTTTTCGCCCTTTTTTTTTTTTTTTTTTTGTCCTTTTTTGTTTTCCTTCCCCCCCCCCCCCCTTATTTTGATCTGGAGAGGTACATACTTCCTGTCTTAGAATGACAACGTACCCTCGCTGTACTGTATCTGTGGAGTAACATGATTGTCACCCTAGAAAGTGTCTACAGAACACCTTCCCCTCTCTTCCTTTTCATAACATACGGTGAAAGTGTTTTGTAATCCAAAGAGAACTGGGAGTAGTGCTAACTGATACATCAGCAAAGGCAGAAAGAACAGGAATATCTGTCAGGATCTGTAGGTACTTGTTAATTTTTTTTTTTTAAACTTATTGAACAGATGCACAAAACACATTTAACACTATATTTAACAGACCAAAAGGGGCACAGACAAGAGAAGTTAATTATTATGTTTTAAATACACTTTAAAATCAGCTATTGTTTCTCAGTGATAATTAGGATGCCCTTGGTTCATGTGGGGTGCAAAAGTCTATATCCATAGACGTATGTATTAAAAAGAAACCGTTTTCCAATCACTGTCTATTGTCTAGTTTTTTTTTGGGAGGTTTTTTGTTTTTTTTTTGTTTTTTTTTTGTTTTTTTAAGTTAAATCTTTAAAGATGTTTCTTGTTTAAATTGCATTTACAGTGCTCAGCATAAATGTAAGATTTCAATCAGTATCTCAATGAACACAAGAACAATTTCCAAAATTGTTGAAAAAAACAAGTTTTATAGAACATTTGTTTTGCTCATTACATGAAAATAAGGTTAATAATATAACTTAGATTACAGAATCTTCAGCTTTACTCAAATTTGTTGATGCAAAAATGAATGCACCCCACAACAAAAAGTACTCCATTTAGTATTTTGTATGACCTCCATGATTTGTAAGGACAGCACCAAGTTTTCTAGGCATGGAATGAACAAGTTAGAAACATATTGCAACATCTATCTTTTTCCATTTTTCAAGAACAACTTATTTTAGAGCCTGGATGCTGTATGGAAAGTGATGCTCAACTAGTCTCTTAAGAATTCCCCGTAGATGTTTGATTAGGTTTCAGATCAGGAGACATACTTGGCCACTGAATCATTTCACACTGTTGTTTCTTCAGAAATGCAACAGCGACCTTAGATGTGTGTTTTGGATCATTGTCATGTTGGAAAAGTGCACGACGACCGAGGGCACGGAGTGATGGTATCATCTTCTCTTTCAATATAGAGCAGTACATCTGTGAATTCATGATACCATCAATGAAATGCAGCTCCCCAACACCAGCAGCACTTATGCAGCCCCACAAAAGGACACTGCCACCACTATGTTTCACTGTAGGCACCATGCATTTTTTTTTTTGTATGCCTCACCTTTGCGAAGCCATACAGTTTTGAATTCATCAGTTCTAAAAACATTTATCTTGGTCTTTTCACTCCAGAGTTCAGAGTCCCAGTAGTCGTCTTCTTTTTCAGCATGGGCCCTGACAAATTCTTGGTGGGCTTTATTGTGCATGGGCTTTAGGAGAGGCTTCCTTTGTGGTCAACACCCATGCATGCCATTCCTCTGCAGTGTACGCTGTATTGTGTCATGGGAAACAATCAGCCCAGTTTGGCTTTCTACTTTAACTGCAGTGAACTTGCATGGCAATTTTTCTTTAACCCTTCTCAACAGAAAACGCTCCTGTTGAGGTATCAACTTCTGTGGATAGCCTGGACTTGTCTGTGAGATGGTTACAGTTCCATCTTTGTTAAATGTTTTTATAAATTTTGCTTTTTTTTTTTTTTTTTTTTTTTGTATTCTGACTGTTAAGTAAAGCTTTGCTGATCTTCTTGTAGCCTTCACCTGTAAAGAAATTATTTTCTTTCTCAGGCCTTGTGACATTTTTCTTCTATATGGTGCCATTGTCTACATCATGAAATAGGTAGGGGTTTTTAAATCAACTGCTGACACCTGTTTAATGAATAATTAGACTCGCATGTAGTTGAATTTTTGTTAATTAGGAGCAAAGCTAAATTATAGACAACAAAATCCTAAGACTTTCATTGGGGTATATTCATTCTTGCAACATGGTCTTGAATTAATTTGTTAGGAAAAATACTTTTTTTGTGTTTGCAAATTGACAAAATCTTGTTTGAAATCAATGGCCCGCATTTGTGGGAGTATTTTTGTAGTATAGTGCCCCACAGAAGATGTTAATTCTGAAAGGAAAGGTTTTCTGACAAAGGAAAGGAAAGGTTTTCTGTTGGAGTATACTCATTTATGCTGAGCACTGTATTTTAAAAATATAGTTCTTACAATTTGTAATCTGTGATACAGCACCCTCTATTGATAGTATCTGAAATTAACTTGTAAGTAGCTGATTTGAAAACCTGAAGAATAGAGGTCCGCAAATATATATAGTAGAAGTAATATCTAAAGTTGGCAGTAGGCTTTCATGAGTGAATATTTCTTACAAAAAGCTGTGATTGTGGGTAACATTTTTCCTGTACACAATAGGTCCTTTCCACTAATGACACTGTATGGTTTTGGAAAAAATCATTACCATGCTAACATGGCTAGTATTACATACAGTTTTCATCTTTGTGAATGTGAAACATCTTTTGTTTGTATGGGGGGTTTTTTTGGATCCCAATTAAAGTCTGTGTTTATGATATACAGCGTTTTTCTCATGCAAGTTTATTTTTATTCATTACGCATTAACAGGACTTTTTGACTGTATGTTTTAGAATAGTGCCTTATGGGTGCCTGGCAACGGGAGATCGATGTGGTATGATAGAGGTAGTTTCTGCAGCTGAAACCATTGCAGATATCCAGCTTGACAACAGCAATCTTGCAGCAGCAGCTGCCTTCAACAAGGATGCTTTACTAAACTGGATCAAAGAGTACAATGCCGGGTAATTTATACTTTCTGAAACTGATTTAAGCATCTTGAGTGCAAAGTGCAAAATATTCCTTTTCTCCTCCTATATGCCATGCATGCAGCCAGTCTTAGGCTTTTCATACTGTGTTCCAGAATTTATTATGTGCAAAACTACTCAGCCTGGAGCTCTTGCAATTTACTATGAACTGCATTCAGGACACTAATTTTTGCTATAAATCTCTGGTAATGCTATCACAAATTACCTTATTTAAAGTTCCTTAAAGTAGAACTATGAATTCCCTTTAAAAAATATTTTGCAGCACTTAATTATAAGGGTATCTGTCCTTAGTTTTCCATTGGTCACCATACAATGTTCCACAAATACTTGTTGAGCCTGCCAGTGAAGTCTGCTTAATGCAGCTTCTTGTGATGGGATGGCAACAATGATGCACTGCTCCTGAATTCACTGCAAAGTTGTCACTCTCATGTAGGTGGTGCCTGTTTACAGGGGGTTAAAAAAAGCATTGCAGAGGGTGGGGCTATCAGCTGTCACTGGTCACAAACCTATAGCTTAGCAGACAGCACCTGGCCACACCCAGACTTGCCCACTGCTTTCTGGATTGACAGCAATGCCTCTGTTGCTGAAACCCTCTCACTGTGAGCTGCAACATCTGGGAGGGAATGCATGCGAAACACAAATGAAGGAGAATTTGGCTCAGTCAGGGGAGGAAATTTTTTTTTCGTTTGAGGCTTGGGCATCTGAATAGCAGGCTGTCATACATGAGCCTTTAGTTGCATTTTTAAGCTACATCTATAGCCAAAACCTTCTCTGTCATTATTGATTTGTAGTAGACAATGGTTATAACATTTGTCAAGTTTTTTTTTTTTTTTTTTTTTTCAAATTGAAATAATTTCCCTTTACTTCCTACTCTACTGCTGATCCTGATTCCCCCTGCAAAGCAGTCTCAGCTCATTGAATCGGCGGGTGAACCACGGGACCGCAAGGAAAGTGTGGGATTGGAAGGGGCGGCACTCTGACATTAAAGCTATGAGCTTGTTTTCAGCCTTTGACTGCCTCACCATTCTAGTTACAATGATCGCAATAAAAGAGTTAAATGTATGCAGTCTGCAGCATTCCTAAGCCCAGTAATCCCCCTGGAGTTATAGTTCTGTTTCTCATATAAATATGTTTCATATTCAAGACTTCTGTAAACTCATTTATCTGGGTAGCTGTCTTTTTTTTTTTTTTTTTTTTTTTTTTTTTTTGTACAGTATAGAAAAAGGTACATGTGGAATAGTGGTGTTAGATGTTATGAGCCTTTCCTGTGCCCTCCTTTCACAGAGATGACCTGGAGCGAGCAATTGAGGAGTTCACCTTATCCTGTGCTGGCTACTGTGTAGCTACTTATGTTCTTGGGATCGGGGACCGTCACAATGACAACATTATGGTCAGGAAGACAGGGCAGGTGAGAAGCTATCTTTACCGTATTGTTTGGCCAGTTTTGCAGGTAAATTGCAAATGCCAATGTGTGCATATGTTAGCAAAAAAATATATGCGTGTACATAAACAGTTCATGGAGAAAAGATTAAACAATTTGATTCCTTATTCATAGTAGCGACTTTAGGCATAGAGATCTCTGGTTTCATTAGATTACATTCCTAGTGTGTTAACCTTGATAAATAATATTGGGCACCTGCTATGCAAAAAAAAAAAAAAGATTAAAGAAGAACTTGGTGGGGAATTCGAAAATGAAACGTCAGAAGCCACAAATACTGTAGCTGTTGACTTTTAAGGGACAAATATTTACCAATTCATGCAGTCCAGTGCGGTCTTCTATGTAGCATATTTATCTGAGGGTGCCTGTTGCACTGTTGCAATCTAATGTATGATTTGTAATGCCTGTATTGCATATTTCACTAGTAAGATAGACCATATAATGTTGCTGGCTAATGCACTAGTTGTTCCCTCTCCTCTTTTCAGCTGTTTCACATTGATTTTGGACATATTCTTGGGAATTTCAAGTCCAAGTTTAAAATTAAGAGGGAGCGTGGACCCTTCATCCTCACCTATGACTTCATCCATGTTATTCAGCAAGGGAAGTCAGGGAATACAGAAGAATTTAACAGGTTGGATGTCTTTTAGCTGTAAAATAAATAGTACCTTGTGGGATCCATGTCTTCCAGCCCACTGCTCTTTATTGCTGTACATACTTGTTTTTATTGGCTTATCTTATTTCCCAGTAATCCATTAGAGTGGCCAGCACTCCAAACTCCTGAAAATCCTCAGTGAAATCACCCATAAATTCATTGTTAGGCATATCATGCTGCCTCCAAATGACTAGATGACTTCTCTTTTCCCAAATAAGCTTTGACATGTTAATATAGTTTTAACATTTTTGGTATTTTTAAAAATCTGCAGCTTTCATTGACATTTTACCTTGTGAACCTGCTACTGTATGATGGTCCTTGTGCAAGATTTTTCTGTTAAAGGGTAACGCTCTGTCCTTGTCTTGAAATTGTTATACATTGTCACATGGACTTCAGATGGATTATACAATTCGCCATTTCAACACAGATTGCACAGACATGTAACCAACAGGAAAACCATGCAGGGATGCAAGTAGACAGGAAATTATGCACGGTTCTTAGGAAAAATAAATGTCATCCAGTTAGGCTTTACATCTACAGTACTTCAGTATGGGTCTTTTTAATTTCATGTTTGGGCTAGGAGTAGTTTTGCATGAAGCACTAGTATTATGTAAGATTCATTGCCTGTGCTTCTCATCCTACAGATTCCGGCAGTGCTGTGAGGATGCCTATCTGATCCTGCGCAGGAATGGAAACTTAATCATCACGCTCTTTGCACTCATGCTGACAGCTGGACTCCCGGAATTGAGCTCTGTGAAAGATATTCAGTATGTCAAGGTAGAGTGAGTAGCCTCCTGTATGTGAACTGTGCACAACACCCCCAATTTCAAACATCTGTATCTTAATACTACATTACAGGGCTTGTTTTCATAGATCATTGCCTACATGCAAGGCTGAACACTTGCTAGGATTGCCCCTAGTGCATGCTCATATACTGTATACCCACCCACTTCGTAAGGCTCCAGCAGTTTTTCTTTTAGTGTCCTTTTCTTTGAAGAATTTTTTTTTTCTTTTTTAACCATTTCTTTTTTTTTTTTGTGACCCCTTTTAACAAGATCTAACAGTTTTTTTCCCCTGCGCTATCTAGCAATTTCCGAATTGGTACCCCTCAGTGTATACTCTGGAGATTGTGCCCAGACCTTGAGTGTGGGGCCAGCCTGTAATGTTGGCTTCAGGCACTGGATCCTGCGTTAGGCGCTCACCTTGACATGAAGTGGCAACACACGTAGTTAGCCTCTGGTTGCCAATACAGATCCAGATCTATGGTTCATGTCTATGGTTCCCAGACATTGAAGAGCCCTTTGGGGGTTATGCCCACCAAGACGGGCAAATGCCTGGACCCCTAGCAGGCATAGTTATGTGGCGAAGGACAGGTTTTTCTTGTATTTTGGACCAGATCCTGGATGTTGGACAGCCTGCAGTTCTTCGTACACTATGCGGATACATAGGCAGAAGAATATGGAGTTATGCATTTTGTTACTCCCTGTTGTAATTGCCATTTCAGCACCAGAAACACTTTTGCAAATTTGATGGTTTCCTACCCTCAAATCTGCCAGCACCAGCTCCCAAATGAGCAGATTTACTAGACGCCCTGCACCAACTTCACTCATATGGAGGGGTTGTACTAGGTGCTTCCGTGGAAAGATTCCAAGGTTTTTCAAACCTATTCACAATCCCCAACCAAATGGGGGCATCTGCCCTATATTGGACTTAAAATTTCTAAACCAGTTTCTTTATGTGCCAAAAATTCTGGATGGAATCAACAAGATATGTCATTCCATATCTTTCACAAAGGAAATTTTATGGCATCAATAGATATAGCAGATGTATATCTACACATCCCCATCCTCCCATTACATAAACTTTCTTGATCTTACTGTTGGGAAACCAACACCCCCTTGTGGTTCTTTGGGATCTCAACCTGATGTACGTCACAGAGCCAACTTTCAGCCCATTGTAGAGATCCCTTTAGAAAACCTCACATGTAAGTCTGCCTGCCTGGAGGCCATTACGCCTATTAAGCGTGTTTCTGAGCTGGCAGCACTTCTAATGAAAAGCCTTTTCTTGTATTGCACAGGGGCAAGGTGGTCATGATGCAAAGACCTTTCTTTCTACCTATGGTGGTCTCTCCTTTCTTCCTCAATAAGGATATCGTCCTGCCTTCTCACTGTCGTGCTACAAAACACACCAAACAACTTACCTTACTCTACTTGGATGTTGCCAGGGCTGTCTACCTGACATCCATGACTTCTGTTTGCAAAACAGAGTACTTTTTTGTCCAAACTACAGGCTTTTGTAGCTGACACCCTGCCTCTACCTCCACCATTGCCAGTTGGCTCAGACAACTTATTTCCAGAACCTACATCTTAAAGGAAAGTGTTCTCCTTTCCCTACCAGAGCTCATTCTCCCTTGGTATGTTGGTGCCTCTCCAGCTTTCCGGCATCAAACATTTGTATCCCAGATTTGCAAGGGTGCCACCTGATCCTCTATCCACACAATCTCCAGGTTTTACCAGTAGGCTCTTCATGCCTCAGCTGATGCAAACTTCGGTCACAAGGTGCTTCAAGCTGTCATCTGAGTGTTTCAGGTTCCTTAACCCTTGTTTTTTTGTGGGCCTGTTGGCAGTTCTGTTTTCTCACCCCTTCGTTTATTACTTTAGGACGTCCCATGGTCTATTAATACAACTCCTGTCCTGTACAATTAATAAAATGGTCATTTTGACTTATTTGTACAATCCTTATCTTGGAGTACAGTACAGGACACAGACCCCTCCCCACTGTCTTTCTTTTTTTTTTTTTTTGTCATGCCTTATTGGTGTCATAAAAACGGGAGTTATGGAATTGGTGAGATTATATGAGCATGCCCTAGGGGCTGCATTAGAAAGTTTTTGACCGTGTCCAATTCCCTGAGGGTAGCCTGCATATACCTCTGGGTCTATGAAAACAACAACCCTTGTCCTGTACTGTACTCTAAGATAAGTCAAAATTCCCTATTATTCCCTCATACTGGACACTTTACCTGGTGTGTTATGCTTATTCTTCTCATTGCAGCCCTTTGAGCTATTTGGCACCTTTTCATTCAACTCATACATTCTTTATCATTCATTTCTGTTTGTACAGTTGACTGTGTTGTATTGTAAGTTTGGGATTCCAAATTCTGTTGCTATAAAAAGCTAAACTTCATGTAAAATATAGTATTTCTTTTGGATAGAGCAGGAAAGGGTTAGAGCCTTTGTCAAATATTTTGGGAATAATTTGGGGAAACTGCCCATTGGGACCACAGCCAGAAACAAAAGAACATTTTAGTAGAGAGAAGAATGATTAGAACCTCTGACATTTTTTTTATTGCTGTGTGCGCTCCTATTCTGATGACAACTGCACCATCCATTTCATGTGCAGGCATCAGTGACAGAAAGTAAGGAATAATCTCCCATAGGGGTCAACTACAGAAATAAAAACTTAACCATTTTTTTGTGGTTTTTAGAGTGGGAAAGGGTTACAACTTTGTCAGGTTTTGAGCAGCTAGACTTATCCTTTTATCTAGTTATCATTGTTTACTGTTCTGATTTCAGGATTCTCTGGCTCTGGGGAAGACAGAAGATGAAGCACTTAAACAATTTAAACAAAAGTTTGATGAGGCTCTGAAAGAGAGTTGGACAACCAAAGTTAACTGGATGGCACACACTATGCGAAAGGATTACAAGTCCTAGCTAAACACTGAACAAGTTTCATGCCTGATAAGGCTGTCCTTAAATTCCTGGCCTCTCCAAGTTGCTCCTGTACGATGAATGAGTTGGCCAGTGGCTGCAAATGAGATATTTCAAAGCTTGTACTTGTACAAAGCGTGCAATGACACTCAGAAGAAAGAGGATGTTCAAGAAACCTACTGTAAGATGAGTGAATGAGAGTGAATCTGTGCACAGTAGCTCAATGGTGATGGCAGACATGAACACAGATACGTGGTCAGCTGCTTCCTTAAGTCTTGGCTCCATGAAAGAGAGGGAAGTGGCATTGTTTTTTTTTTTTTTTTTTAAACCTTTGTAACGCAGATGGCGGAACAATCTCTCCAGGCATTTTAGTGAGGCTCTGGTTTTGCACATTTTTTTGGATATGGTCGTTGAGGCCTTTTGTTGTTGTTTTAATCTATTTTTAATCTACATCTGTTTTTATAATGAGATCAAACAAGCCAAGAGGACCTGATTTTATGAGATGGAGGTACAGTTCGCTGTACTGAATTTTACTCTGTCTTCCTAGCATTTGGTATTAATTCCAGCTTTGCACTGCCATGCTCACAGCTTTCACTGCATTCGGCAGTCCCTGGCACCGAGGAATAGCTGGACATGAGTCTCAAAGGGGAGGGGATGCTCTGTCACAATTTCACATATTTTTGGCATTACCAGCGTTCATGTCTTCCAATGACCTTTCAACTTCAAGGATACTTATTAGCTTTACACAGAGAGGTTTGCAGGATCTCTGTAATTTGAAGTTAAATGATTCCTAAAGGAAATGAAATTGCAAGCTGTATGGTAGAAATCTTATATTCAGCATAAATCACTACAGATAGTTATGATTTGGTTGGTGCCAAGGCTTCAATTCCCAGTGCCTACTCACCTCTTTTTGGCTGGTCTCCACTTACACTCTAAAATACTACCTTTTTATAGATACATATTTTGAAAGAACAGATACGGGTTTTTTTTGTCTTTTTGCGTTAACCGCTTGAGTACCAGCCTGTAATATCCCTTCATGACCAGGGCACTTTTAAGTTTTTTCAGTTCTGTGATGGTTTGACAATTACTCAGTCATACAACACTGTATTCTATTTTATCAGGGTTTTTTTTTTAAACAAATGAAGCATTCTTTTGATGGTATTTATTAAATACTGGGTTTTATCTGTTATATAAAGGAAAAAAGACCGAAAATTATAAGGAAAAAAACCTTTAGTTTCTGTTATAAAACATATCAAATAAAAATACCAGGACAGTACAAAAGCCCCTTTTTGGAAAGCAGACACCCCGAGTTGATCTCACATTTTGCCACAATTGTAAATGAAAAAACGTGCTGGTATTGAGGTGGTTAAAACTTGGTGATGGTGCACTCGATACAGTGCATTATTAAATGTACAGTTCACACTCAGGAGGAGGAGGTGGCTAAGAGGTTAATGTATAGGTTGCATAAAGTGGGAGGAAGGGGGTTAATGTTCCAGATAAGCAGGGTAAAGGAGTTCATATAAAGATTGCATAGATATACAGATCACTCAGACAGGCTGGAGATGAGATGTAGAGATGGAGAGGAGGGGCTGAAAGGGGTAAAAATCCCTTACTATTAACCTTCTGCTGTTGCTTTCAGTCATTTATTTTTTAATTAATAAAATACCCTCTGAGGCAGGCTCCCAAATGTAAACTGTACACCGTTTACATTTGTGATCACTGCAATTGATAGGGACAGAGCCGCTCAGATTGACTCTGTATACTGTGAACTGAGCTGTCTGATGATGACTCCGATGACAGCCATTAATGGACATGCTGGCCTCCTGAGGGTGATTTCTGCAGTGCCGTTTGTACACAGCATTGCAGAAATAAAAATCAACCACTTCTCCATTCAGCAACTTACGGTGGTAGACCAGCAGCTAAAGGAGGATCCAGCTTAAAATGAACCTGTGTATTGCTCATGCAGACAAAAGCAGCTGGTTTACTTTTATCCCCCTGTCCAGCAGCATATACCCACTTTTTCCTTCACTCCTCTACTTCTTCATTCAGCTGTTAGGAGCAAGAGAAGCTGCCCTGTGTAAGCTCAAATTGTAGATTAAACAGGGCTATGAACTTTTCCTATGTGATGAAGCCAGTGCATGGTAGTTTGCGTCCATGCCCACATGTTTCTGCATATGCAGAAGTGCTGATTACTTCCTTTGTTTCTCAGTTGAACGGATCGGTGTGGCAGGGAAGGTAAAATAAGTGTGGTCACCTGGGGAGTTTCTCTGCCCTGACCCATTCTGTGCAGTATTGCACTGCATTTTATAAAAGTTAATTTTGAAAGAAACGGAAAATGAATCTGCATGTAATCTGACCAGAGACCAATTCATCGCTGCTGCTTCCTCCCACAAGAGTTCTTGGTCTTGGAGCATTGCCCTTCACTTCATCCCTTGACTGCATTGCATGGTATTTTTGTGGGCAGCAATGATTACCAAGTGTGAGCACAGGTATTGACACTGTAAAGCGTGAAAATATGGGCTCTAATAATAAAAACACATTTGTGAACATTTGCCAACAAGAACATTTTTTTATTGCTAACAGCAACCAGTCAAAACCACGGTTCAATTTTCCACTTTGCTCTGCATAGATGGCAGTTAGAGTTTGGTTGCCATGGACAAGATTTTTTTTTTTTTCATTTGTACACTTTTCATACATAAGCTCTTTATTAGACTAAGATTTTTTTTATATTTTTGCAGTGATCAAGGTCTAGATTCAGACTTATTAGGACACCTGAAGCTCACATTTCTTAAAAGGAACACCCCAGTTGAGCCTAGAAACTTAAGACTTGAACTGCAGGTGAAAACAGTCTGTCTGTTCAAGACATATGTTTTTATCCTGGCATTGCTATAGTACATCAGTTTGCCCCAATGCTATAAATCATCTAATCATCTGGTTGCCAAAGACTTAGAATTCTGGGTAAGCCATTTTACTGTACACCTTTATGCTCCAGGATAGTCAGTGGCTATGCCATTGTTGTCATCCTATGCACTCACTGATGTCTACCCAGGAGTAGTGCACTGGCTATAACAAACACTGTGTTTGTCCCCTGAGCTATTCTTGACTCTCTCTGCTGTGTATCTGTAACTCTGTCAGACAGCAACCACGCTCTGATAATGCCGTTCCACATATACTTTCTGTCACGAGGATCATAAGTGGATCAGTAGAGCAAGGTTGGGATTATATAAACCCAGGTAAACTGTGCACTGAATGTACTTTCTGACACTAAGCCAGTTTCAATATTTCTTGGAAAGCATTAGTAGTTAATTGATTAATTGCCCAGAGCTGCTTTTTATTCATGGAGTTAAATAAGTAGCACGTTAATGACCTAACAATTTCTTCCCCCCAAAAGTGCTTGGATGCAGTTCTCCCTTAAGATATTATATTATTTAGCCTGTTAAAAAATCTTAGCACCAAGCAAAGTGTATTTGCTACTTTGAATGTACTTAGAAAAAGAAGAAACATATCATATTTTAAAGGACAAGTCCACTTTTAAGGAAAAACTATTATACCCTCTAACCTAAACTCCCCAACCCAGTTGCTTGCGTACCTGTTCCTGACAGTGGTGGCCTCCTCCCTTCTCTGGTGTTTCTCCTACAAAGAAAATGTTCTTTAGCGATGGCCGCATCTCTGCATGAAATCCTCATGCACTTTACTGATACTATTAGTGTGTCTAGTGTAGAGTACGTTAACCATTAAAATTTGTGGGGAATCAATGCACAGGTGCAGCCGGTGCTGTAGAAGATTCCAGTTCTAGGAGGGTAATTGCAAGACGAAGTTGTCACGAAGAGGTAAATAAGATCCGGGTGGATCAGGTAAGGAGGCTAGGGAAAGGGGCTACTGGATTTCTGAACAAAGGTAAATCTCCTTTAGGTTCCATTCACATTAGCGCATCTCCAAAGTTGCGTGATTTCCAAAGCAACTTTTTACATTCGCTGGACTAAAGTCGTACCAAAGTAGTACAGGAACTACTTTCAAGTCGCATAGATTTGAATGGTACTCAGTGGAAAACATGAGGTGTGACTTGTCATGTGACTTTCGACCCCAAAGTCACATGGCAAGTCGCACAAGTGTGAATGGATTCTCAAGTCTTACATTAGGGTTAAAATACCAACACACCTAAAATATATTTCAGTTTGGGCAGACACCCTTAGCTTTAATCAGCCACCAGCTTTATAATTTACCTGGGAACTCCACCAGCTGGATCTCTGTATTAGATTTCTTAGATCCACACAACTGCCACAGTCTGTACGGGTCAGTGTCAGACTTTTTATGGAGACTCCTAAATGGAGAATACAGCGGGGAACTTGAGACTGCAACAGACCCAGGACACATTTGGGTACCCAGGAAGATATGAGGCCGGTGGGTGAACCCACCTGTGTCCACTAGAGCTGAAATTTCAGTTTTGGGTAAACTTGATTTTAATTTTTGACAGCCCATTAGTCTTTTTACTTCTGCAAAATATGGATGATGTTTTTTTTTCCACGTAAGATTTAAAATCGTGCCTTTAAACAGAATTTTAGCCAGTTATAAAAGGCCCACATTTTTGTGTAGTTATTAAAATACTTACATGAATTGTAAGGAATATTTTACTCAGTGTTTTTATATTGCCCATCTGTAATTCCCTATACAGCAGACTGGGAGAGAATAGTGTCGCACTGAAAGCCAATCAGGCTGTACTGCATTGCCAAGTTTATTCTGGTAGGAGAAAACACAAAGATGACCTCATCAGTGAGCTAGTACTCCTGTAGTGTTTATTCACAGGCTGGGGCAGGTTTTTGATCAAGCTGTATTGCTTTTACTACACTGGAAAAAAGTGAAGTCAAGAAACTGGCTTTACCTGGGGGGGAGGGGGTTGGAGGGGGGTGAATTAGAAATCCTGTAGGATGCATATCTGTACCACCTGTCTGTTAAACAGATTGTCTAGAGCTCTGCTTTACTTTGGTGGAACTTCCTGCACTTCT